CCCCGAGCCCCGAGCAGTCTCCCCGCGACCGACCGACCGAACTAACCGCCCCCCCCCAAGCATGACGTTATATGGTATGGAATAGCTCTTTGGTCAGTTTGGGTTAGCTGTGCTAGCTGTGCTGTACTCCCAGCTTGTTATGCACCTGGGCAAGCAGGAGAAGCTCAAAAAGTCCTTGAGTAGTCTGAGCACTACTTGGCAACAGCTGAAAACATCAGTGTGTTATCAACATTCTTCTGGTACTAAATCCAAAACACAGCACTATGCTAGCTACTATGAAGAAAATTAGCTCTATCCCAGCCGAAACCAGGACAGAGGCACAGAGTCTGAACTGCTGTTCCCATATTCTAGCTAGAATTCTAAACCACAGGGATCCATACTAATTCCCCTTTTGAAAATGGTAAACAATTTTTGCCTAAATTTGCCACAGTTCAGTGGCAGTGGTCAAAGTAAACCTTAAAGCTCTTGATCCACAATTCTGCTTAATTCTTATGCGGTCACTTCATTCATACCTGATGTTCGATATTCCTGTGTCGATTCTGAAGGTGTCACAGGGTCTTCATTTTTCATAAATATAAAACAAAAACAGGCAAAAATAATGCATTTTTTTTATTTAAGTGTAAAAAAATATTTGCTTTCTGTCTTTTTATTTTTTTAATTTGACGCAAATTTGAATGAAACAGCTTCTATTGTTGAAGAAAGCTATGAGGGTCAGAACTGAACTCACTTTTTGATGTTGAAAACTGAAGCAAAAAGGAGACAAGGGCCCACAGTTTGAGAGATGCTGCATAGAGAGAGGATTCTGCCTTCCACTGGAAGACACCTTCCACTCCCAGCAACTTAAAGGGCCACATCCCAAGTGAACTCCCCAGGGCCCATGGAAAACTGTCAGAACTGGGAATTGTGCCCAGGCCTTTGAAACCAAGAGGAAAAGCACCCAGTACTGGGCATTGGCCACAAAGTTTGGTTCAAAATAACAGATTTCAATGCACGAGATGCACGGTGGCTGCTGGCTTTGGGGCATGGGCAGGGTGGATTCACTCCTGTGGGAAAGCATAGGCAAAACCTGTTTGTGCTTCTCTGCAAAACACAGGCTACACACAGTATCCTCTCCCTGAGAAGCAGCTCAGGAGGTATTACTAACAGTTTCTGAAATGGGCCTCTCTTGCCTTGCTGCTCCAGGTAAAACACTGCAGTATGCGGTGACCATGTAAAGTTCAGGCTTGCTAGAGGCCAAGGAATTAAATGCTCCTGGGAGAAAAGGGCTACTGCATGGGACCTGCCGGCCACTCCTAGAGATACTCTGGAGGCATAAAGTACTAACGGCCTGTTATCTAAGAGATGGATGTTTCCAAACTCCTACTGCATGTCCAGTTCAGATCTTCCCCGCAAAGGAGGGGCTGTCATACTCCTAAAAGCAGCAGGAAAGCCTGTTCCCAAATAGTAGAGTTTCACAGTGCCCTTATCACTTCTTCACCTTCCTGCTGTACCTGTTCAACCCCCTACCTAGCTCACCACCTCCCACGGCTACTGCAGCTTTAGTAATTAGTCCTCACAGATAGTCCAGTTTATTTGCCTCAAAACTTCCACTGAAAGTCACCTCCCACTGACTAACTGGGCAGTTAGGGGTTGCCTTTATTTACAGGCATACTGAAATGATGTTATTTTTATCACACTGCTGAAGTACCACACCCATTTGAGGCTTCTGTGCCTGATGTGCAGGCATGATACTGCAGAGAGTTAATTGTTACCTGCTCTTTGAACGTCGCGGTAATTCGCCATTGCACAGAAACCCTTTTGGGGTGGTGCCTTACCAGGAATGTTTGAAGACCGTATGGGCAGGCACAGAGGGATAAAGTGCTCATGGTGACAGACTTCTTGGAGAAAGTCAAATTTGAACTGATGTAAAGTCTGAAAATCACAACAGGCAATGGCTCAGTTCACATTAAAACAGGGAAAATGGTAAGAGAGAGCTGCACTACTATTCACCTCTACCTCAGAACTCATACTCACATAATGAAACCTTATGGCTTCTTATGCCAAGCTGCACAAATAAAAAACATTGGGCTTTTGTCTGTTATCAAATGAACTTGTCACAGTCAAACAAGCTTTTTGGATCCCTCAACTATGATTTTGCATTGAAGATACACTGATAAATATAAGCTTGATCCAAGCTAAATATTTAAGGTATATTTAAAGCTACACTTGGTCTTTTGATGGTATATACTATAGCATATAATCATAGCGATTATCTTCTCCAGTTCACATAAATTTGGGACCGTCATAATTATTATGCCTAAAATGAAACTAGCATTTCTGCTGCCACCGTCAGGCTAGGATACCTGGAACATGCTCTTTTTGGAGTCTACCAAGCAGTGGATGGTGCAGAATTTTTCCCTGAAATGTTTTATCGCACTGTAGTACCTCATCGGGAATACAGCTGGACACGCAATTCAGGGTCTAATGACAAATAAAGAAATGAAGCACCTGAAATGCATTTCCCAAGAGGAACTGTGACATTTTGAGGGAACACAGCAGTGAACTGAATTCTAATGATGTATTTAAACTTCTGAATAAATATTTCTCAAAACAATGTTTAAATGTCAAAATATGGAATAGAAATTATGGTGCTTCATTCACAATCACAACAAATTCAAACTGCAGTGTTATGGACTGATATAACCACAAACTGTTTATTCAAGCAGCAAATTGCACTGTTAAATTTTCTGAAGAGAAAGGTCACATTGCAGTATCATCTTTTTGATACATGAACAGTCCAGTTAAAGAAGCAAAAGACACACAGAAAGAAATCCTGCAGCATGTTTAAATGACCGACACTTGCTTAGGTGTCTGACCGAAAATGAAAACAGTGCCAAGGCCTTGCTCTCCTTGAGGTCAGAAATCTCTGATTTTATTTTGTGGCTATTGTTTTCAAGTCCTGGAAGGCCTCTTCCAGTGGTAACTCTGTCTCAGCTCTGCAGTGATTCCACTTCCACGCATCCTGGCAGATGGCTTTGGAGGGATGCTGGGTGGCTGGCAATGCGCACACACTTACTGCCAAGGAGGTGCTAAGTTCTGCCCTGCACACTGACTAATCTCAGGCTTTCTCACTGGCCATTAATTGACTTTTTTAATTAAACATCTGTTTCTGTGTTTGAATGTATTTGGGGAAGTTTGAAATGTGGAAACCATTTTCAGATTGCATAATATTATTTACAGAATTGTAGACTTCAGGCTATGACATTAATACAGAGAGACTCCATTCTACATCTGTTCCAGAGATTAGGTGAAAGACCCAAGTGCAGCATGAAGCCAGTTTTAGGAAAAAACAAAACAGACCTGGAGTAATCTTGCTTATTACTTACAAATGCCCAGATCACCACTAAAGAATTATAAAAAGTTAACGGACGAAAGTTTTGCAAGCTTTTTTGAGAAAGACAAGTCATTCAAAGCGTGTATATTGAATACATTCTGTTATCTATCATCTTATATGCTCCGGTATGATAGCTCAGAAACCCAGTCATGGAAAAGAAAAAGCCTGTGATTCTCCCTGATGGATGAAGAGTAAAGGAGTCAAGCTGAATAATTTGGGGACCTCTTGCAGTTTGAAATTTATTGTTCAAACTATAGCACTGTTATAGAAGAAATTCAGGCTGCAAGGAATTTTCCTTATAGCAAGCACAAACTAATTTGAAGCAGATTGGCTTTCTTGCATCATCAATGAGGTAAAAGCACATAATTTCTTCAAAGTAACTAAGATGTTACATTCTCATTTGAATTTACACAATGGTAACTCGCTGATAAACTCTTACTTTAACCTCCTCAAAGCAAATTACTGCCAGTTGCTGCTGATATTTATAGACCAATCCACAAGTGTATTCTCCAAAGATTCAAAGCTTGAATTCAAAGAATTTCTGACTGGTCAGCCTTTTGCATGTTTTGGCCTGAGCAGTCTTTGCAGAGTCTGCTCTCACAGGGCTCAGTGAGTAGTTGTCTGGACACGGCTATTTACTCCCAGAAAAAGGGGATAGATGGCTCAAAACCAAGAGGTATTAACACATATTTACAGTAAATGTTTTCACTAACTTGAGTTCTAAACATGGTGAAGCCATGGAATAGATTATAAATTGTTCCAATATAGAAATACTCTGCTAGTGAGTCACTTGAGAAAAAACAAACAAACAAATTAAAAACTGTACCTTGCTATCTCCTGTTCCAAACATACTTATGTAATTGTTGACCATCTTGAACACAAATCCACGATCCATAAATGTAAAACAGCGCTAAGGAAGGGGGAAAAAAAATTATTATTTTATAGCCCAAAAAGCAGTACATGGCCTTACACACCTGGCTGTTTGCCTTGCATCACCTATCAATCATTTGCGCAGCTGAAGTTAGTCTTACAGCAGTGCAAGGAAAACCAGGGAACTGGTGAATCCAGCTTGATTTTAAAATTTATTTCCAGTAATAATAAATTGATCAAACTTTTCATTTCCACTGTGTCTACATTCTAAAATAACTATCACAGCGTACAGCGCACTAGGAGAAAGCTTATCTAATGGAAGTCATTCATGTACCACAACACTCAATCACCAGAGGTGGTACATGATGGAGCCGACCTGACTATCTCCTTCAGTGACAGAGCAATGACTCTTCAGGAATCAATCCAGCCACAATACTTGCTGTCTACGAGCTACATTATCTCTCTGGGAGCAAATATGCTATTGCATTACTTTATGATGAGAACACTGCTCTTGCTGACTGATGGGGCTAAATAGCCAGAAGGTACAATAAAGATTTTGGGGGGCTACAGTTACTGACATTTTTTCCTTGCAGAGTCAGCCTACCAGATAGGGAATGCAATCTTAAACTCCCTCCTTCTCTGGTGTTCCTGAACTCTGCAAAACTAGCAAAGCCCCGAGCCACACAGCATTCAAAGAAAGCAGCTGTAATCCCAGCCTGGAGAAAGCCATATCATCTCTAACCTAGGTAATTCTGTCTAGCAGACTAGATTAAAAAAGAAAACAAAGCACAGCCATATGCCATATCATATGATGCAACATCACTGTCTTCCCAGTTTAGCCGAGTAACACACAAAAATAGTATGCAAATCTGCAACACCTCCACTGGTGCAACACCACACAACTACTAAGTCCTTCCATCTATGCTCCTGCCTCAAACCAGCATCATTTTCCAAACGATGTAACATACGCATCGATACAGCTTAACGTCAGTATGCCAACAGCAACTAGGGCTTCTATAGGGTATCAGCAACAGAGGCCACCACAGTGGACAGCAAGTTTATAATTTATTTCACCTATGCATGAAAGGAGAAAAATGCACCTTCAGTTTGTGATTGTTTTCCTTATAACCCCACAGGAACATTTTCTTGCTGGAATACTTCTCTCTCCTAATGCTGTGCTTCAATTTGTCGCAAAACATTTGAGCCTGCGTTTCAGTGTGTACTATATAGTATATAGTTCTGTACATCACACCATTAATGGAAAGGGGTGTGTGCCCAGTTTAAATCTAGATTAAGTATTCGGCCACACAACTTACTGAATGGCAATTTTTCCATGCTCCACAGCTAATTCAATGCTGGGAAAATAAACATAATTGACAAATATTAGGGCAAAACCATAAATTGCAACTCCTTTTAGTGACTTTTCCAAAGCATGCGTGTGTTTTCTTATATTTGGCAAATGAAAGGGCATTACAGAGTTAAAAATGTAGGTTGCAGTATTTCACATAAGACTTGCAATTTGCTTATTCTGGTTTGTAAAAGCCACCCACTTTGGTTGTGATTAGGAAACAGTCATTCAGAGCTATAGTATGTAAAAAAAAATACCTGCTCAGCTGTAACTACTGTTTCATTTCTTACCAAACTTTTTACCCATTTGGACGTAATGTAAGAATCTGCAAAATTTGAAAACTTGGGCTCTTTCAGAGAATAGATATGAATGAATCAAAATTGCTTTAAAGCAGACTTAGATAAAGCTTTTGCATTCTCAAAGACCCAAGGGCATAGAAAAACTGAACTATAGGTCAACACTAAACCTGGAGATTGAGGCATCATTCACTCGGAATTGTTTTTATTCCCTTTGAGTAGATTAGAATAGTCTCAAGTTTGCATCAAGTATGGGGAAATAAGTGCATATACTGTAATGATAGAACACCTCACCTTGAGAAATTTGGCAGTGCTGTAGTTAGCACTTCTGGTTTCTTCAAGAGCATCTTTGTACTTCCAAACAAGATGGTCTGCCAAGACCATCACAAGTGTATCCAGCGCAGTTTGAAATGATTCTGGAAACCTCTGAGTTCGAGAAACCTAAGCAGGAAATAGATCATCACTTGAGAGTGTATGATGTTGCACATTAAACCTGAAAATACATTCAGGCCAAGATTACAGACAATAAACCACAGGTCATTCAACACAATAAAAATATTCCTAGAGTTCCACGGATCTATTCTGAGTATAAATCCCCAAAGGAAGAATCTGGTCCATGGGAAAGCGGGAAATCTTACCCTCAAATTCCAGCACAAGTATACTAAGAGCATCTTTGCTAATCAGGCAGAGCAGAGGCCAAAGCACTGATCTCCAGCTATGTAAGGTTTGCTCAAAGCAAAGTAGAGTTTCTAGATCATTTATTTGCTGTCTGGCATAATCATCTGTTGGGTAACCAGCAGAAATTAGAGAATTCTCATTCCATTTTAACTGACCCATTACAAAGCTGACGCAACTGTATTTTTTTGCCCACCAGTTCTGTACAAGCAAGAATATGTTTGAGCCTAGCAGGTAACACAATGTTTTTGTGGGTAAAATCGGTATTTTATAAAGTGTAACAGCATTTCTTTTTTTTTGACCAGTCAAGAAGAAAAGTCCAAGTATGTGTATTTCCTAGGATTCCACATTTTATATTTTCCCTAAGAGACTGACTACTTACTTAATTGAGATCAGGTATATACCTACCTTTGTTTTTTTTGTATCAACCAAGTGCTGGGCCATTGATTTTAAGATAACTGCAAAGAAGAACCAGGAATGCTGTTCAAAAGAAGGAAAAAAGAGATTAGGAAAAATTATTATCTGATAAATACTTTACAATGCATTACCATTCCTTATAGATGGACTGCATTTCTCAGTAATGCACAATGATAAACTCTACGTGACAAATAAATTAAAGAGCCCAAGTGCCATGTATTTGAGTAACACTGGATCATGTCCTTAAGAGAGCTGAAGCCATCTGAGGCACTTTGTCACTGTGGCTCTGTGCAATAAGGAGCGTGCAAATGCAGGTAACCGGCAGAAATGCATGATGCAGAGAACCTCAGAAAACAGAAGCCGAGAATAAACTGTTTTGTTAGTTCCAGCAGATTGGTAATTCAGCCCAGAACAATATGGTACTTGTTTAAAAAATAAACGGAATGATTCTTCAAATACCATTTGTAATAGTGAATGGGTAGGATATAGATTAAGATCAGTATCCTCACATTTCTCAAAAGATATGTGAAACAAATACACTCAAAAAGCTTACAAATTGCAACAAAAACCTCACAACAAACCCAATCACAAGTACTTTTGCATGGCCCAGGCTTTTGTGCCTTTTTTAGGCTATTTTTGCTATTCCAGTGGCTCAGTGCAGGAAACAGAAACTGGATCATTCTAACCAGTTGAATATAATTTTGCCATAATTTTTGCTCCTGAGCTGGACTCAGTAGCTCTTATACCATAACCGACAGACTCAGTGATGGGGCTTGCACATCTATGAATTTCTTACACCTGGTTTGATATGAAAACCCTCAGGAAACCTCATTCATTCTCATTTTGGTCACTGTCAATCAAAGGCAGCAGCTGAAATCAGATATAAATGTCTTACTTACAGATGAATATTCCCTCTGCATCTTCCAAAATAAAAATTTTAAAAAGTATCCTAAACGTAATTGCTCACATATTATTGTGTAATAATTAGGTTTCTGACTCAGACTGAGCTGTAAGCGAAAGGAGGAATTTTATTATGCAAACCACTACATTCTGAGAAACATGTTATGCTGAGAAACCGTAGCAAGTCTGGTAAGTCTGGGCTGTTGAATCACTTCAGGATGTGATTTGTGCAAAGCTCGCACAGGTTTGAAAGAGGAGAGGAGAAAGAGAGGTGACAAGTGAGCTTCAGGCAGAAAACCAGTAGTAAAACTACAAATCTGCTAATTCAAGCTATCATTCACCTTTAAAACCTGTTTCATTGTTACTTGGTCATTTAACTTCAGAAGGCCAGTCATATTCTTGGCCAGCTCCTCATGAACAGTCCTTTCTTCACATGATTTGGTCTTGAACACATACTGAGGAAGAAAGGAAAAATAAAAATTATCAAAAGGTACATTAAAACAAATATAAAAAACCTCAGTAGGAGAAGATAAATTATTTATACACCACTAACAGCTGACAACCTTTGCTGCCAAGATATCTTGACTGAACAATAGATTCACATAAAGTTTAATTCCCCTAGCCGTGACAGCACAACACTGCTCCCCCTACAAAACCCCAGTTTTAAATACAACTTGCTGTTGATTTCAGCTTAATGTGAACCAAGAGGAATTTCTGCTTAAAATCAGTGCTACAATCTATTTTTTCAATAGGGCATAGGATCCTGACACCTCTAAACTGCCTTTCAAGCTGTTTCACCAGGGGAAAAAAAGAATAAGCAAGCAGAGGAAGTACGGAGGGTTTTTCACCCACCTAGGTCAGGGCCACCTTTCACTTGCTTCTTTCTTCCAGTGGTAACAGCTAAGTCAGAGCTGGTGACAACAACTCTTCATCCTGAAAGGCGTAGAGCACCCACTGGAGCTGACAGAAGGGGATACCTATACCCCTTTTAGAAATCAAGCTCTCAAGAGAGGAATTTATCTACCAAGTTGCTCAGAACTCGTAAATCTAGTATGAGTTTTATTCAACATTTTCAGCTAATAATTTGGTACTGGGATCCATTACTCCTTCCCTAAAGCAAGAGCTCTGCCAGTGCATCGGTTGGCATGAAACACCTTTTCTATTCAACCAGATAGGTAAAAGAAAGAAATACCACTTGAAAATATCTTACTAATATTCAGCCTTGTTTCCAGGGCAGATGCCATAAGCCTCTCCCTATGCAGTTTGACACTTCTGGGTCCAGTTATTTAAGTCAGTGTGATTTAGCATTATTATTGCATCTGAGTGACTCACATTTCTCAACTTACTTATTCCCAAAGTATTTCTAAAGTAGGTATTCATTTCCTTACAGATGGATAAAAGAGATAACAGTTATTGGCTTCTGACTGCTGCTGGAAATGGGAACACAGGCTAAATGGACTTGTGGTGTGGCCTAATAATCACCTGTTATTTCAGAGATATTTAGCTGCAGTAGGTGTCTATTGCAATTTTGAAAAGTTATTGAGCAGAAGAGGTGTTAATACCCACTTAATTAATTACATTTAAATGTTACATAGGATATTTATTTTGGAGCCTGAACAGTTCTGCTGGACCTCAGCAGAATTCTTCTGTGCTTAAATCAGAGTGCTTGAGACTAAAATTTGACTACTAAGATGCTGAGATGCATCACCTGTAAACACATACTTTCATGAAGCATGAAAGTAAATCCATATCATGGAAATATCAACCAACAGTTGTCAACACTGAAATTAAAACAGTTTTCCATTTAGTATCCTAGCTCCTACCATATTTTCATTATTCTACCCATGAACATGCTGAAGTTTCAGAGTTCATCATGAATGTATTTGCTTTCACTTTATTCCTAGAGTTAATTAAAATAGCCACCCCCCCAAAAAAAAAAAAAAAAAAAAAACCAAAAACCCACAACCCCCAAACTTGTGTCATATGTATTACTCATAATCCACAAATGCCCTGCAAGGTGGGAAATTCTGTTTAACACCATTTCACAAAGACTGAAGCTAAGCCCATGCTCCTAGAAGCTCAGTGGAAGTGCATTTTTATACTAGGTCTTGCTTCTAAAATGTAATCTCCAGTCATCAGCCCACTGTGGAGAACTGTCCCTCCCACGTGCCAGTACCCTTTAAGAGTGCACTGCAGCTTCCTCCTCCCATGCTTACTCAACTTGGTGTCCTACGGAAAGCAAGCTGCACCATGCAGAGGAAACATGAGCAGCCCTTTGTCCTCCTCACGGAGTAAGGTTGCGAGCCAGGATGCAGCCGAGTTTGGTGGAGAAGGACAGGAGTGTCCCTGCTCTACAGGGTGGCCTTAAAGCACAGAGAGGCAGTGTAATTTGTTCAAGGCGACACAAGAAACTTACGGCAGAGGAAGAGAATTGACTTGGCCTCTTCCAAATCTTACATTAGTTTCCTAACCAGACTCACCCAGCCTACTGGTGGCAGAAAGCTATAATGTAAATGTAGAGAAAGCTACAAAAAAGTACAACTAAGAGTAAACAGGAAAAAACCCCACAAACCCTAAGCCTGCCCCTCCCCCCCCAGTTAACAGCATAAAAACAATCATACCGTCACGTAAGAATTGATGCAGTTGTCTAGTTGTTCTTCATGGCACTTAGCAACAATGTTAGTAAGAACCCTGCAAGATAAAAAAAAAAAATTAAAAAAAAAACTGAAATTGAGCTGTTTCATGTCATAAGACAGAGAAGGTCTATCTGATGCATCACATTGTTCTGTTACTGTAACCTCATTTAAAACAGTCCATGAGGGATGTGATCCAAATGATGAATACTGCGTGCAGAGACTGTCCCACTGGGACAAAACAGTCACTCCTTGGGCCCTCCACTGGCATGGATTATGCTGTTACATATGCATTCATCTAAGAAAATGCACCCAGTTTTAATGATTGTAACTGTACTGGCATTAAAACAAAAGAAAACTATTAACTAACCAAAGCTTATACAGACCTTGGATGATTAGGAATAAGAAAAATTAGAGTGCGTAAGTGAAACAGAGATGCAAGATCCTCTCTCTGGGAAGGCTACTTGTCAGGTTCCCTCAAATCTTGGTAATTCTATAAAGTTCTGATACTTTGCCTACGATGGCACTGATAATCAAAGACAAACACAAGCCCAGGCTCAAACCTGAGCGTGCCCCTCTCCTGCACTGTTTGCCCATAACCTCGGACTCAGCCCCAGCCTGAGTGCCCAAGCACTCAGGAACAAAAGGCCAAGCACAGCACCCTCCGTTACCTAGAAAGCCTGGACATTTGGTGCAACCATAGACACTCTGAACTTCTGTAGATCAGCTTAGTGATCAGCAACATGGAAGAAAATTGCCTGGGTCATGCCAGCACCCACTCTCACAACCTGAACTTCTACTAACAGCAGAGATGGCACTACTTGCGACCGGGTGTTTCAGCAAAGTTTTCCATTTGTACCTGGGCCATCTTTCTTTGAGATCATCCCATTTCAGAAAACACAAGTCTGAGAAAGAAGTGTTCTTCAACTTAACCATGAGATTTCCTCTTGATTACTGGGATCTTATTTAGAAATATAGAAATAATATAGAAATAATATAGCAAAGACTGCAATTTTGTAGTCTTATTTTTATGGTAAATGAATGGGGAGGAAACAGTTAATGATTCTCAAATGTAGAAAATTAGTGAACCTTATCTCAAATTCAGGGGTATGCGTAACAGTATGACTAAAATGGATTATTAATATGCCTGACTGTGGTCCACATACAAGTAGTCATTTTGACTAGCTTGGTGATTTGAGTGTTTTCTGCCAATTCTTACTGGATTCAAAAGCTTTGTGATTCTTTTAATGCAGTATTTTTCATATATCTCATTCCTAGATATTAGTAGAAGTAAAACTTGTAGCAAAACACGAAAGCTATGACAAAATTAATTGTGCCCATTCTGATCCTTCAGCCTTTATTCTGATTTGAAGCTGGAATGAGTTCTGGCAACAATGAGACACAGAGATGATGACATGACTGGGACCCCAGACAAGTACATCACCATGAGAGAGCATAAAAGGAATAATGTTTTCTCCCCAACACATAAGCCAATCTATGCTCTCATTCTGTTGTTGTTGCTTTTAATATGTTCAACACAAGTTGCTTCAAGCTATTCAGAACAAAATACAATGTGTGTATATGTAGGACACACCAATGAATGGCACACATAGCAGACGTGCGTATTCCTGTTGACATCAACACTACCAACACAAAAGCTACCACACATACAAGAAAAACACTCAGGATCCTTCTTTTTTTTAGCCAAGTGGGTGTCCAGTCAAAATCTGAAGCATGAAAAAAAATTGACATCCTTCCATTTTTCCATTTAATCATTAAAACTATTTTTTAAACAGTTGCTTCTTCTATAGCATTTCTTTTCCAGTCAGTTCACAGATACTGAAATTCTAGCCTGGGACACAATTCTTCATTCTCCCTGCCTACCCCAAACGTCAGTCGATTTGTGGCCATAAAGGGGTCCAGAACAAAGGTTCGACTGCCTCTCCCCCTTTGAAAACACTACGCAGTGAAGAAATCACACATGTTTACAAGGAAAGTTTCTTCTAATCCCAGTGCCTAGGTGTGGTAAAACTGGACTTTGCCCTGCAAGGTGCCATGATCCTTCGATAGAGAATATTGAAACTCTAGCTTTCCAAGGCCAAGATGAGGAATTCTGCTTCCTTGCTCTAAATTTTCCTAATTAACCTTTCTTCAGGAACTAATTCTGAAAAACAATCTGTGGAAAGAAAGAAAATATGCTGACAGCAGATTAGCCTAAGAGGGTTGCTGAGGACAGTTGTCATTTTTTCCTGCTAGTTGTATTGTAGTCCCCATGTTTAGGTACTGGCAGAAATACAACAAAAATACCATTATGGCCAAAAGAAAATGCAATGCAACTTTCTGCCCTCCTGCAGAGACCAATAATAATCTCTCCAGCATTTTTTTTTCCTGCTGCCCTGATTAACAGCATCAATAAAGACAATTTCATTATGTGAGGGGTGAGAGACTCAGCAAATCATTCCAGCTGTTTGCCTGCTCACTGGAAAATGCTTCCATTGCTCTTCAGTTATTGCTGATATACTCTAATTAAAAAATGCCCCAGAACAGTGTGACCTGGTTGTTTGATTCTGCGTTGGATGCTGCAAGATGCTAAGTTCTTCCTATGCTGTATTCCACATCCTCAGACCCAAACATAAACCATAATTGATATTCAGCTTTGTTAGGAAGCACTTAGTGCCTTAAGAATGAGAACTTTACCTACGATTGCCTCAGGGTACAGAGACACATCCACCAGAGTCAATGATTTCCCTGTTGGTATCAGTCAGCCACACGATACCATGCTCTTCCATGCATTATTTGCGGAGCCCTGTGTTAAGGGGGAAGCAGGCATTCTCCCCTACTGAAGTCTAAATGTCATAGTCAGCCTTTGTAAGAGCAGCTATAATTGGACTAACTTCTACATTTGCACTCTAGAGTGAATTCTTTTCCTCATACAGAAAGTATTCAGATACCTGGTCACAGCTGTTGTAACTTCATCATCACTGTTTTGCACCAAAACCCAGAATAGTTGATTCAGGACTACAGGAAGAAAATTCATAATTACATGGATTTTCTCAATCTTCAGCAAATTCTGTAACAGATGCAAGAAAGAAAATGAGAGATTTCTGATATGAGCAATGAAAGCTGATTACTTGCTTTCGTGCTTCAGCAGGTAAAATGCAGTGCAGCCACTGGTGTAATAGAAGTAGGAAAACAGGACAACTAAGTAAAGAACTGGTTCCCCTTGGAGTTTGTTTTAAATATGACCATCAACACAACTGTAGGTATTGTTCAAATTTCAGAATTCCAATATTTTGCTCTACCCTGACTTAAAGGAAAAAAGAAAAAAAAAGAAAGAAAGAAAAAAAAAAAAAGAGAGAGAAACCAAATCCAATTTTCATATTTCACTAGGGATACATAGGCAAGAGCAATAAAAGAACTTAATTACTATTTTCAAGACATGCATTTCCTAATATTTTTAGGAAAACTCAATTTTTTAATGCAGAGATCTGATAAACTGAACTTGTGGCTAAAATACTTACGTTAAAAGCACATTGGTAAAAAGCAGTATTATCGGTCTAACCTGACTGGACTGGCATTATATTATCTTCTCCGATCAAGGAGGATATTGAGGTTTTAATTAAAAAAAAAAAAAATCCCTCCTTTGAATTCCTTCTAGTTTTTCGTTTCAGTAATTTCCAAATCATTCCAGAATTTCTTCAAGGGTACGAGTGACTTATAAATAAAAGCAAAATACTCTGGGGGATATTACTTATTGCCTGGTTATATAGCATAGCTGATCCCTTGTCTCATACAACATTGTCTCTATTTTCTAATAAAATTACTGAAATCTTTTTAAAAGGTAAACTACAAACAGCAAATAAAGAACATTACAGTCCTGGTAGTTTAGGTAACTGACTTACTGTCTAGAAAGTTGTGAAGCTTTCATGGATTCTTAAACTTTGTCCAATACGCTCAATAGCTTGCCCAAAATTAACAGTTAAGGACATCATTCTGTAGAGATATAACCTCTAAATAACTCTGATGCTTTGATTTTTTAAAACATCCCTTAATAATTTCTTTAAATCAAGGCAATACTTAAAAATAAAGCAATCCCTTTCAGGTCTCCCTGCATCTGTCAACAGAAGTAGTAGCCACTTTTAGGGACTTGCTGAGAACTGCCATGATTTATTGGAACTTATTGTTTTCTTATTAAAGCAAAGATCTTTTCCCAAGCAACTTTACAAAATCCGATTAAGGTACACTCAAACAGGAAAACATTAACAACAAAGAAACGGGGCAAGCACTTACATGACAGCAACATTTTAATCCCCAAACACCTATTTGATTTTACAGACTGCTAAAAGGAAAAATAATAAATGAAAGTAATATGTAGCATGTTTTAGAGCTAGTACTGTGGAACAGTGTCACAGCTACCCTTCAGTCTTCTTGCTTATCTTCCTGTTAAAGTTCATTAAGCAGATTGCAAAGCGAGAACTCTGAATTTCACCATACATGAACAGGCAAAGAATCACGGCCCTACATTTACCTGATGGTCTTCTAATTTGCTTGTTATACTCCTTTCTCACAGCTTTTGACCTCTACTGAATAGTCACATTTAACGCAGTTCTTGTTTTATTTGTTTCATCTCTGTAGAAAGGGTACATTCTTTCTGATTTCAGAACTCAACAGGCAACAAGCACCCTTGATTTATACAGGTAGAACACCCTAAACAGCCCTTTGGCTAGCATCCAGGTTTTTAGAGTGAAAGTATGAAGAGCCAAGTAGGAGGTAAGCATACAATAAGGTAAGAGAGGACTAGCAGGGATACTGCAGCTCTACAAGCTACAGCTCCTTTTCCTGGACATTCCTAGCGCAACATTACACCATTGTTTAACAGAATTTGAGTTTTGGCATAGGCTGGATTACCGAAGTTGATGGGGCAGATGCCACCACGCTCTAAATGAGAAGGGATGGGAGACAGCTCCTTGACCAGTAATGCATCTGTCATATCAAGTAAATCTAACTGGAGTTGTCATGGACCCATTGTCTCCTGGTAAGTCTATGGCATGTTTAGAATTGTGCAGTGATGGATCAGTTGAGAGAAAGCCCTAAATAAAATTTTATAGTACAGTTTGTGCTGCAGGTTACTTTACCTTACAAGAATTGATAAAGTTTGAGGTAGGAGGCTGGGATAGATCCTTTTCCCTTTCTTGGCACTGATGGAAAAAATTATTCAGGTATGGATCCTAAAATGATAGACATTCACATTAATGTATGTGATATAAAGGATTAGAATTCAGTTCCATATATTTGCTACAGCAATCACCTGTGATACCGAAGAACACACTTGGTCCCTACTGCCTTAGATATAAGACACAGAAAGACAGATGAACTTATTTAGCCCAACCCCTTGGCCAGCACAGCCTGTTATATACAGTTTATTTCTAGGTGCTTTAACCACTCTTTTTTCAGTGTTGTGAGCAATTAATTTTTTCCTCACAATCTAAGGGATTTCAATGGACAGTTTTGTTTTTTTTTCTTCCAGGTGCTCACAATTTATTTTCTTGCTTTTTAAACTGATATTCCATGATTCTTCTGTTGGCATAATCTTAAATAATTTATATTTTTCCTTCAAGTGTGTATTCCATCACTGTCATCTTGCTCCTCTACATTCAAATAACCTTTAAATGTTAGAGAAACAAATTCAAACAAAATTTTAAAACATCTTTCAGACATCCCTTGACACTTTTTGTTTGTAAGCAGGTAACAGAGCTAAGAGGAAATTCGGCTTACCTGAGTATTTATTGTCGATACAACAAAAGTAGAGACTTTGAAAAGTGGTTTCCCACTATCTACCCATTTGACATCACAGCCAATCTGCTATTAAAACAAAAACAAAAAAACATTTTCCCACTTGTTTCCTACATATTCAAGTCTTCATCAAACTTCCACTGCATAGCTTTGCACATTTGTGCGTGAACTGTGCTGGCTACAGTGCTTTCACAGTCTCAGAATTACTGCAATACAAACCCACTTTTCAGCAGAAGCCCATGAATGTTATCATTCAAGGGACCATCTCACTGCCCCACCCTGTCCTCATGACAATAGTAAAACAAATACAAGGAGGCAGAAATAATCCAAACTGGATATGATCAGTGGGAAAATATGATATCACACCACAAAACTGGAGAATGAATCATGATCATGGATCACGTCAGCTGGAGAATGACTGTCATATGGCCTGAGTTTGTGAAAAGAGTTCTTTTTGACGACTCTCACTCACGTTTTGGAGAAGTTAGGTATAGTATTGTAGAATACACAGTTATAAAATACACTTTTTCCATATACACCTGTGAATCAGCAACATATGACTCTCAGTCCAGTGGTACAAACATTAGTTTATATACTCAATGATATGCACACGAATATTCTAAAACAGATACCCTATTTATCATTTACACTTCCAGTTAAGTGGAAACGCAAATCTGATCCAATGTGAAACATCTGCAAATAACTGCTCTGCACCATTTGAATAATATGAAAATATGAATTCATACCTTTCCGCTAGTTGGTTCTTGAAGGCTCAAGTAATTGGGAGGCAGACTGCTTGCTACTGGCACATTGTGTTCTTGGGAAGCTAACTGGGCATCTTTCAACAAAGGAAGCCATGCATATCCCACTGCGCACAAGAACAAATTGATATGACTCTGGAAAAACAAGCTTCTCAAGTTCAAAGGAAGACAACAATATCTAGCCAGAAATTCTGCAATCCTTATTTGAATGTACATAATTTATATTTATAATTGAAAGTAATTCTACTACAGGTACCTGGTGTTTCCAGAGCCTCTTTCTTTTTGGCATTAGCTTTTGCATTTATGTCACAGGTGACATGATAAAATGAAAACAGAATGTGGTGTTTCTTATGGAGTTGAGTGGGAAGTTCAATTTTCACCTGAAATGTAAAATGTTACACCTCACTTTAGTTTAAAAATCGATTAAACCAGGCATCAGAGATGGTCTAAACGAGTGACATATCTCTCTACACAGAGGTCTGAGTACAGCATGCCTTTACTGGCTAATGCTTGTCTGCATGGGTAATAGATGCTCTCTTAAGGAAATTGTTTAGGATGATCCTCCATCACTTTTACTTAAAACAGCTTTTTTCCTCTCTTTCTTGTGGATGAATATTTGCATTTATGATGAAAGTGTGTAAGATGAAAGAGGACAGAACTAAAGAGTGATGGACCCTGCTTAGAAGTGATCACCTGCACTCGAGCAGCCATCGATAGCCATCACCATTCCCATATTTTCAGGATGACCAAACCAAAAACTAGAAGACATCTCTGTTACTACTTCATCATCATTTCATGGCAAAGACCAAGTAATAAAGGCTGACATGAAAATAAACTTTTATTTATAGTTTCTGCTCAGTCTTAAATCCCATACCATATCATCCATGAATCCCTACAGATTGGGTTTGAGGTATTATTAACCTATTGCAATAAAAATACAAAGTAATCAAAACTTGTTACCATAGGAACTAATAAAAAAGGGCTCCCTTGCCCTTGTGAGCTATCATAAAGTTTAGCCAAGCTAATTCTATGCCTAAAGTAAGGTTTAGAAATTGTTGAAAAATGCTTCCAGTGTTGAATCAGCTTATGGGTAAGAATTTAATACCATACACGTAGATACAAAATGGGCGTTCAGAAATGGAGATTAAATCAACTTTCTTGGTAACATACCACATTCTTTTAAAGACTGCACTTGCTGTACTAGGAACATTTAGGACAGGTGCACACCTCTTCCAGCCAAATCAGCTATTAAGATCTGAATTCAGCTCTTTGTTCAAGTGGAAAGTAATCTGCCCAAACCAGATGGCTCACTAGCATCCCATGAAGGACATTTTCAGATGTGTAAAAACCCAAAACACTGCTCGCAAAGGAGTAGTGGAGGGTTCAGGATGTCTGAAGATGGAATGCTTTAAGTTCCACCTCAGTTCCTAAACTTTGAATCTTAAAATCGATACTTCACATGTAGTTGTACATTATCTGTCCCTGCCTGCCATTTTATTGAAATAAATTTTAACTGAAAAAGGAAGTTTTTCCAAGATCAAGGCAACAGTTTGGAAAACGCTGGCTATATACTAACGCTGTTTGCCAGCCCTATCACTACACATAAAGCAGTAGTGGAAAATCCAAACAGACATGTGACATTCACAGGCCATCAAACACACTAGTCACTGAAAGGGTAAAATGAAGTTCACCTGCAGAAAGCCTGGGGAATCAATACTTGGTGTGTTGGTGAAATGTAAAGATGCATGTGCGACTAACATTTGGCAAAGGCCAGCATATGAACTCTATTCTATAGCTGCATCCTCAAAAGCACCAGCTAAATGACTTGCTGCAGCCACAACACGTCACTGTACAGTCTGTTGAGACCACTGGATCAATAAAAATGCTCCAATGCAGATCTTATATCTCAGAAGGGGATTTGTTCTGACATTTGGCTCCACCTTTCATCATAATATTTACTGTTTCCATTAAATTTAGAGATGCAGCTGGACCCTTAATGTAAATCAGACATGCATTTTAGAGAGCTAGACTGTTCCTAATTAATTCTACAGCATCTTAACTGTACTCAGAACATCTTACAAAAGGAAGGATTCACTGTGTTGATTTCAGAAAAAAAAAAAAACCAACCAAAACATGAGACTGTATGTGAATCTACATAACACAGGCCCATCCAGATACACAAGCAATTGTAAGAGAAGTATTCTTTACATGCATTTTTCTGTCTCACTGGCAAACACCTGGGATTGGCAGACATTTAATGAAAGAAAAAGCAGACTGACCTCATCATAGAAATCAGGATTCTGGGAATGATGTAGCACAGCGGTGTAGGCTGCCGTTGTAAATAATGGTCCACCTGGCTTCCCATAAATACACTGATAAAAGTAACATGCTTTAATTACTTTGTGAAATTCTGCTGATGATACTAGCCTTGGTGTATCTAATATGAATGTACATTGAAAACAATATCATGAAAGATTGATAATTAATTTGATCAAACATTAAATGAAATATTTTAAGTGCTCAAACCTGCAATTTTTTATACACACTTCCAGTAAAAGTCCATTGACTCTGTGAAAATTACCCTGCACTCTACTAAGGAATGCAGACTCCTTAGACTTCTTCCTTGCTATTACCAATTTCAGAGTTGTCTGCAAAAAGCTTTACATAAGCTATTTCACTTTTATGCAGTTCAATATGCACTACAATGCCTTTACTGACTTTTCAATGTTACAAAAGCTACACCAGTTAACAGTCTCATTGCTGGCAGAATCCAGGCTGGAGGCTATTGATTATTGAGTGATGACAACTTTATTTAGTGGTGGGGAAACTACAGTAGAACAATACTATCCAATAACCCTTGGCCAGTAGCAAAGTCAAGAATTAAGTCTAAGGGTCTTCTAATTTTGTGCCTCACTCTTTTCAATCAAGTGTCCATAACTCAGTGAGAAATATACGGTAAATGGTAAGTTTTAGAATAAGCAAGTTGCACTGGGGTAAGTTTTCTTATATTGTTATCTTTCCCCTCCAGCAGTCAGAAAGCTGGCACTGCAAAAAGGCACTGAGCTGGAGTCATCATGACCAGCTGGGATCAAACAGAACCACAGTGCAAATGTAGAAGGATGCATGACAACATTCACTCTTTAATTGTTCTGGGTTAGTACAGCCCTGAGGCCTGGGTTTTGTGAGTAATGTCCTCAGAAACACTGTTCTCTGAATATACTCTTGCTGTGGCTCACCTTCAGTGGCTTTGCTCCTTCTTCGTCAGAGCTTTTAAATTCAATGCACACTGTTATATTCCGTGCCTGAAAAGACAAGACCGCATTAAAGATTAAATCAGAAATGGGATACCCATAAAAACAGAGGCAAACTATAAGGGCTGAAACAAGCTCTTTTCAAAATCAGTGTATCAACATTTAAAATGCCTTTAAGTCACAGTGATATCACTAGAAATAAAATGTCCAGGAACAATTGGCAAAATGCAAGCCAGACCTCAAACTGACTGTGTAGAAGCAGATTATAAAGCGACCAGCACTTACCCATGTCTTGTCCTTAATTAATTTTCAATCACCATGAAAACACAAGTAGTACTCAAGTTTAAGAAGTACAAATATGAACCACATTAATTTTACTGCACACATCATTTCATTAAAATACAGCCCTTTTGAAAATTGTGAGAAAGCTATTACCACATTATCTCTCTTTGAATCACTGATACAACTTAAAACTAATCCATAGATTCATTTCATTAAAATTGTACCAACGTTTTATGACTGCAAAAATTGGAAAAGATCAAAAGCCACATCAGTGACTCACATCACCATTTTCCCCTCCTTTATGATGAGTACTCCTTCATTTCAGTGAAATCTCATCCAGTACACTACTACCCAACGTTGGCCTGAATTGGTCACATACTGTACCTTGTTGAAGTATTTTTGGCTATCATACTTGAGGTGTTTTGGATATACGTATATTTGGTTCTTGTATACTCTGTAAGGTCGAGAATATTTTGTTGATTCCTGTACAAACTCCTCAACTTCCACTGTAGGTTGATGCTCCTTTATGTCATTAAATGGCTTGATTGGAATAAAAGATGAAGTTACACAGTCTTCAAAAGAACAGAAAAGAAAACCATCACACATTATGTTTGTTTTTACAGTCTTACTACTAAGAGTAATTAATATTGAGATGGAACAAGTAAAATCCTGCCTTAACTTGCAATGAATAAGTAATGCTGAGATGCAACCGGTCAAATCCATGTTACCACAGAACGGTTATAATGTATCAACCTTAAATGGTTTACCTCTTAAATGAAACACTACAGCACTGAAAACCTCTTCTGACACACACAGTCTTTGATGGCATTTGATGGCATAACAGCACCATTGGTATAGGGATGGTTTCAACAGAATATACTGAGGTGATGCTGTTTCTAATTAATTTTACAGTTCAGTATCTCATTTAAGTTTTTGTATTATCTAATAACTAATAAACAAAATGAAGAAACAAGTAGTGCAGAAGTACATTAAATATATGATGCAATTGGGATAACTGAAATCGGATCAAGAAACAGAAGATATATAAGCAATCTGTCACCCAGACAGGGAGAGATTAAAAAATGGATAGAGTATACTCTGTCTGCCTGTGCCATTAAATCAGTGAGACATTTAACTTCAGCATGGAGAACTCAAGGGCTATTTGCACGAAAGCAGTGAGAAGGGTCACCAATTTTCGGATGTCCCAAGCTATTTCTGGGACAAGCAATTTGATGGTCCTGCCTACAAGTTAATTCCTCAAACCCTAGAACAACCCACACGAAAAGCCTACCAATTGGTGGCGAGGAAGCTGAAAGAAGATAGTGATCCATTGTATGCACTATGCCCGATTTTACTTCTTTCTAAACTAGCACAAGAAGAAATTGCCAGTTTCAGGATAGTGGAAGTCCTCTGCAGCCCAAGCACGTGGGGGAGAAGCAGCTCTACAGCAGCTACAGCAAGGTGGTTTCTCTTTGCTTTCTTTCAAATCGACACTGAAAACTTTCTTCCCAGCCAGCTGCCCACCAAAATGTGAATGTGGCCGATTGACTTGTACACCCAGCCAACAGACACAGCTCCTGAATTAAGCTGGAAAGAACCATATATGAAAACTTCTGTCTTTCCCAATCAAAATCAGCAGCATTAAAAGGGAACAGCTAAATTAAATCACTTGCATTTGTGAGCCAGAAGTGACCACTGCCTGCTGTAGAGAAGAAGCCTTGAGAAGGTTTATTGTCCCCAGCGCCAGCAATAATTCCCTCTGGATGATCACACAAATTTCTCTGTTGGTCAGTGAAGATACTGAGGGTCATATACAAACTTTTGAAGGTTTGCTCTTCTGCTACTAACATTGCCAGCACTTGGGAGATTTGGCTCACTGCTCTTGGCCTACAAAGCTAAGACGGGCAGCTTTCTGTTTGGGCAAATCTCAGGCAACCCATCTTAAAATAGAGAATGTGCTATGTCTTATAATTTTGCCATCTGCCCCTCAAAACTTAATTTCCAAGCATTCTGATTGTGTTCATTTCTGAACATTATTAACCTTGTTTTTCATTAGAGGAATCTGGGGACCAACCCAAGGATTAGAATGCAGTGCTAAGGCCTCTCGGCAGGGCTCTTTCTGTGCCCTCTGCACTTCCAGCAGCCCGTAGAAAATCCACAGGGAAATAGAAATAGTGTTGAACTGAACACAAAAAGGGGAGTAAGTAATAAACTAAGTTTTTAAATACCGGTAGCTCAGATAGGAGAGCAGTGATAGCCTGTAGAGTGTGAGAAGAGGCAGTAATAACAGGAAGCAGCCAGCTGGAAAATGAAGGCTCCTGCAGTCAGTTGTGAAGGTCTGGTCTCTCTCTGCCCCACTGCCATTGCATGGACATGCATATGGAGGCAACAGCCCAGCTTGCTGCCAGCCACATGGCTCTCGGCTACAAGCTACTCTCCATGACTGCCCTCCACAAGAATGAAGCCTCACAGCTTGGGGTTCTAATGAGTATTTTAGGGGGGAAAGCAGGGGATGTAGCAGCCACAGTAACTGCTGCCCTACTGCCAGCTTCAGGGCCCCGACCTTCCAGCGCGAAGGATAACAAGCAGGGACCACGCAGCGTGGGTGGGAGCTTCAGGAAGCTTTTCCTCTCTTCCCCTTCGCTAGAGCTACATGAGTTTGGCTTCCCCCCATGCAGCAGAACAGGCAGAAGATTCGTCTCAGGTTAAACACTGTCAGACAACATGCCCCGCTATACCACTGGCTCCAGCTCTTGTTGTAGCTATTGTAAATAAAGTCTTATAAAAACAAAGATCTACTTCTGTTGTCTAATGCAAATTGATGCTAATGCAAAGCAGGGTAGTGGTTGGGTCCTAGAGACAATCATACTGGCAAATTCTTGACAAGATCTTTGGACAACTTCCTTTTCAGTGGCTGTTCTTGGCAACAAAGGATTTTAGCACTAGCCTAGCATGACTTATTTTGGGTGGGAAGGAGGTATTATAACAGAATTGGTTACGGTTATTGCTATTACAAGCCTTCCTTCAGAGCTGGCTGAACTCAAGACGAGTTTTCATGGAGATTTTAATGAATCTGCATGGAAGTTTTCTGACACAGTTTTTAACGCTGAATAAGGCTGTAAAATAATTTAAGATAAATTTTCCCCATACCAAAGAAATGTTTAAGCTGTTACTCCCTAGAGTGAGGGAATTTTCATTGACTTTCCACAGGAACTGGGCACTTCACTAGCACATACCCTCTAAAGCCAGACTTTCACTGGCCACAGTGCACACCGAGTCAGGCAACAGTACAAGGCCCAAGCTACTTTGGACCATTTTTCCTAGTCTGAACTATCAGTTTCTTTTAATTTCAAAAAAACCAAAAAAATTGCTTTTGAAATGTTAATGAAACTACTTTTTTATCTAATACCACATGAAGATGGTATGAAGATGTGTGATGATAAGACTTCAGAGGAATTAATTTGGCCCTGAGCTTTTTGCAACAGTGGGTCACAGAAATGTGGCCCTTGAAACAGAAAATTTAGAAAAAGATAAAGAGGATCTAGTTAGAAGCATCTATCTTAGCAATTGCTACACTGCTGCCAGAGTGGCCTCTGAATGAAGTCCTCCATCCAGTCTGCATTCTTGAAGTGTGCTGCATGTCCCATATGCGCTAATTCACAGAAGATATCAGCATCACCGCCCACCAGCAGTGCAAGGCTATTAACCTCAAGCTATAGAAGTTCACTCAGCTCTTTGGCCTAAACCTTTAGAGACCAAGAAGCGGTCCTTGGACTTCCATCACAAGTGGATTGAGCATCTTGTGTTCTGTATTGCTTGGGGTATATCTGGCCAGGTACAGGACGAAACAAAGAATGGTGTAATTAAATGTAACCAAACCAAGAACACTCCCCCTGCACACATTTTTCTATACAATGATGGACACTTCTACCAGAATTGTTTCAAGGCAGCAATTATGGCTGGAAAGCCTATGACAATGTCCTATTTAATTATAATAATTAATTATAAAGTGGAATCATACTTGGATGTTCCAAAGGAACACAATCAACTGCAATCTCCAAACAGCCAGGTATAGTCTGTATTTTGCTAATCTTCTCTGCTCTGCAATGACAGAAATGAAAACATTTTAGAAAATCAGAACAAGGGAGATAAGACCCATCATAGGAATTAATCTAAAATGAAAAACAGACTCTGATTTAAGATATAAATATATATTAAACACATTTAACATACACCTATTGGCTATTAAACTCAAATCAAATGCAACAACAGGAAAGAAACTTGGTGTGTTTGAGGTGCTTTTTTTTTT